TTTTTCTATTATGGCTCCACAGAGAAACGTACTGTTTTTTCATTATGGCTCCACAGAGAAACGTACTGTTTTTTCATTATGGCTCCACAGAGAAACGTACTGTTTTTTCATTATGGCTCCACAGAGAAACGTACTGTTTTTTCATTATGGCTACACAGAGAAACGTACTGTTTTTTCATTATGGCTACACAGAGAAACATACTGTTTTTCTAATGTTTCTTCTTCTTCCAAACACTTTTTAATCGACTACCATTATATTATTTCTTGGTCCAATACGATGAGACAACTTTTTCAATTTTTTAATTTAGACCTTTTTGAAATATTTTTATGGGGTGAAAGGTCAAACACCCCCAAAATGTATATTTTGGACTCATGTGTGATCATATTTATATAAATATAAATTTTTATGTGCCAAACACATTGACATAAAAAAAGTTGGATTTACCCATTTTGAGTTGTTATTCAGTTAGGCATTGCTAAGCCTGCAAGTTTAAACTCAGAATATCTGGAACTTTCAACTTTACAGTCAAAAAGTTGTAGCAGTAATGTATCCCATAATGCTCTTGTAGCAGATGTATATAAAGAAATGTTCATCTTTGTTTGAATTGATGTTTGACCCAATTCATTGTTACTAGTGTAGTAATCATAACCTGTCTATCCCTATAACAAAAGAATAACAATCCTGGAGAGTGATCGAGTTAGGTTCAGGTCAAACTGTGTGGAGCCTTTGTGGATTTCATTTGCTAATCAACAGTTTTATTCATTTACTTCAACGAGGAAAAGACTGTATATAAAAAAAAGAGTAATCTAAATCCAAGTAAAGTTTTTCACAACCTGCTAGTTGCCATACGTTTTTTTGCTATTTGAAGAAAATATTAATTCACAAAAATAAAACTTTTTCCCCTATAATGAAATATACGTCATAAAATTATTTAGTTACATTTCAAAATTATTTCATGTGATACATTTTGATAGTTTCCAACACTCTAGATATCATCATAACCTAAGACAGCACTTACAATATGTTGAAGTTAACAGGTTTTTAAATTTCATTTTACTTTTGTAGGTGGTCTTAAGGTTTGGGAATGTGCACTGGATTTGGTGGAATTTTTGTCAACTGAAAATGTAGTTGAAAATGGAATGAAAATACTTGAGGTAATAATGCTTTTAAACTACTTAAAATAAATGTTCTTTTATTATTCCTGCCCACTGCTATTTGAAACCAACAGACTGCTCCTCTATCTCTCTCATGACTGAAGAAGTGTCACTAATATCCCACAATTTCTCTTCCCTTAAAGTGGAATCTGTAAAATATTGTTTTTTAAAACTAAGGATGATTAACTGCCAATTTATATTAATCGATTTAATCACAATAAGTGGAGATGTAATGTTTGTGAAAATTTTAGTTACTTGTATATGCTAATATTTTTTTACAAAACTTTAGAATTAATGTTGTAACTGTTCCCCAAACAATGATACATGAATATTGTGTGGTAGTGACGTGGAAATATAATGTTCCTTCAACATGTACGGTTTTGAGATCAGCTAACTTTGGCATTTTTTTGTTATAAAATCATTTGGTTAATGTTCACTATCACTGATGTAACAGAGCTAATGAGAGCTCAAAATCAGTCAAACTGCATCACTGAGCTGAACATTTGTATGGGTCTTGTTATCCAATATGTTTCATGTTTTCTATGTACTTCCTTTCTTAATGATGTTGTACTAATATAGGTACCACATAATAATATTTCTTAGTACAAACTATTGGTAATGATGTTGAAATAATGCAAATATCTACAACATGATAACCTTTCAAAACATTAATAATAACATTTTCAAGATTGCAAGAGTACTTACCATCAGGTAGTGGTTGTTGTTAGAGGTTAAGAGTACTTACCATCAGGAAGTGGTTGTTGTTAGAGGTTAAGAGTACTTACCATCAGGTAGTGGTTGTTGTTAGAGGTTAAGAGTATTTACCATCAGGTAGTGGTTGTTGTTAGAGGTTAAGAGTACTTACAATCAGGTAGTGGTTGTTGTTAGAGGTTGAGAGTATTTACCATCAGGAAGTGTTTGTTGTTAGGGGTTAAGAGTATTTACCATCAGGAAGTGGTTGTTGTTAGGAGCTAAGAGTATTTACCATCAGGAAGTGGTTGATGTTCACATTCAGGAATGTCAATGAACTGTATCGTCCTATTTTCTAGCTGGGATGTGGAGCAGGGTTACCTGGAATTTTTGCCTTTTTAAAGGGAGCAACTGTCCATTTTCAGGATTTTGTAAGTAACAGATGTTCCTGTGTTTAGCATTTTTATGAAAATTTTGAAGATAGTTAAAAGTCACCAAGTAATACAATTAATAGTTAAAAGTCACCAAGTAATACAATTAATAGTTAAAAGTCACCAAGTAATACAATTAATAGTTAAAAGTCACCAAGTAATACAATTAATAGTTAAAAGTCACCAAGTAATACAATTAATAGTTAAAAGTCACCAAGTAATACAATTAATAGTTAAAAGTCACCAAGCAATACAATTAATAGTTAAAGGGCACCAAGCAATACAATTCAAAGTTAAAGGGCACCAAGAATACAATTAAAAGTTAAAAGGCACCAAGCAATACAATTAAAAGTTAAAAGGCACCAAGCAATACAATTAATAGTTAAAAGGCACCAAGCAATACAATTAAAAGTTAAAAGTCACCAAGCAATACAATTAAAGTTAAAAGGCACCAAGCAATACAATTAATAGTTAAAAGTCACCAAGCAATACAATTAATAGTTAAAAGGCACCAAGCAATACAATTCAAAGTTAAAAGGCACCAAGCAATACAACTAAAAGTTAATGAAAGTAACATGATTAACTTTGTGTTTATAACATTTAGTATAAAGAACATTAGATGCAATTATCGATATTCTATTGGTGTATTCATTAATTACCGGTAACAAAATGTTTTAATTCTGTGAGCTCTCTTTTTCCTTAATTTATGTAAAAAAATGAGACTTATTTGTTAATTCACTTAGTTTATTTTTCTTTTTTTTTAAGTTGGTTACATCATGAAGTTTGTGATCTTTGGAAGTGGTCTTGTTTCTTTACGAGCAAGAAGTTTAAATCCATAACCAGTTTTTTTGATAAATGAATAATTCGTGATGTCATCAATCATACAGTGGCAGCATTAAACTCTATTTTATCAAACACAACTTATGTAATTAGTGAGATTAGCTGAAGGTGGTTAATTATGTTTATTTTTGTGTGTGTGTGTGTGACTCACATGTTATTAGCAACCTTTTAACTACCCCAGTCACAGACCCACAATTAATTTGGTGCATAAATAATTTAGAAATGTTTTTAAAATCCTAGAGGTAAATATAGAGATAAAATCTTGCTTAATGTAGAGGACCAACTTTCTAACCCTAACTTACTGATATCTTGTTGTTGTTTTAACCAATTAACATAAAAGACCTATAAAACAACAACAAGATATCAGTAAGTTAGGGTTAGAAAGTTGGCCCTCTACATTAAGCAAGATAATGAATTGATGTAGGACCCAATTAGCATAAAAGACCTTTAAAACAACAACAAGATATCAGTAAGTTAGGGTTAGAAAGTTGGCCCTCTACATTAAGCAAGATAATGAATTGATGTAGTACCCAATTAGCATAAAAGACCTGTACTACATCAATTCATTATTTCAAAACGTAAAGATTACAGCATAAGTGTCAGATCTTTATCTACGTACTTAGAATTCTGTTTTTTATAACTTCTAGAATTATGAAGTTTTGGACCTGCTCACAATACCGAATGTTTTAATGAACAGTCAACCTGTAGAAAGCATGGTTTCTACCAGATGTCGGTTTTTTGCAGGAGAGTGGACTGCTGTAGGAAAGTTTTTGACAGAAATACTGGACATAAAGAATGACAGGTCTATAATAGCAAAATTATAGATAATATTCTAAAGTATTTTAGATGTATGTAAGTCTGATGGTTAGATTTTAAAACTGGAATTTGGTTGATTCACCTTTTTATATATTTTAATATACAAAGAAAAGTATAATAAATGCTATGATAATATGTTAAATAGTTCGATGTTTCATCATAAAAAAATTTTCTACTTGTTTTTAACTAATTTTTCAGCACACAAGATCTCATACACTATTTCTTAATATTTTATATCAAGGTATAGCTGTCCCTAATTTTGAACGGTGGACCAGTGGTTAAGGCTGTCAGGATGAACCCTGCCACCTGAAGGAGCAATTCTTTAATCAAATGATATGACTGAGTGTAACTTCTATAACATACGCACAGCTGAAATTGTAAATCATGTCTAGTACCACCACATTTCAAAACAGATCCTCTCTGATACACTTATAACTAGGCCAGAGATTCTAATCACCTCTGATACACTAACTACTAGGCCATATTCTCAAACCCTCTCTGATACACTAACAACTAGGCCATACCCTCAAACCCTCTCTGAGACACTAACAACTAGGCCATACCCTCAAACCCTCTCTGATACACTAACAACTAGGCCATACCCTCAAACCCTCTCTGAGACACTAACTAGGCCATACCCTCAAACCCTCTCTGAGACACTAACAACTAGGCCATACCCTCAAACCCTCTCTGAGACACTAACAACTAGGCAACACTCTCAGACACATTAATCATAGGTCACACCCTCAGACACATTAACCATGAGTCACACCCTCAGACACATTAACCATAGGTCACAGTATCTCAGACACATTAACCATAGGTCACAGTATCTCAGACACATTAACCATAGGTCACAGTATCTCAGACAGTATCTGATACACCAACCATAGGTCACACCCTCAGACACTAACTAATACAATAACTACTAGGTCATACCCTCAGACACATTAACCATAGGGATTGGTGTATCAGATACTGTCTGAGATACTGTGACCTATGGTTAATGTGTCTGAGGGTACGACCTAGTAGTTATTGTATCAGTTAGTGTCTGAGGGTGTGACCTAGTAGTTATTGTATCAGTTAGTGTCTGAGGGTGTGACCTATGGTTAGTGTATGAAATAGTGTCTGAGGGTGTGACCAATTGTCTGAGGGTGTGACCTATGGTTAGTGTATCAAATAGTGTCTGAGGGTGTGACCAATGGTTGGTGTATCAGATATTGTCTGAGGGTGTGACCTATGGTTAATGTGTCTTAGGGTATGACCTAGTAGTTATTGTATTAGTTAGTGTCTGAGGGTGTGACCTATGGTTAGTGTATCAGTTATACGGTTAATGTATCAAATACTGTCTTAGGGTGCGACCTACGGTTAGTGTATCAGATATTGTCTGAGGGTGTGACCTATGGTTAATGTGTTTGAGATACTGTGACCTATGGTTAATGTGTCTTAGGGTATGACCTAGTAGTTATTGTATTAGTTAGTGTCTGAGGGTGTGACCTAGTAATTATTGTATCAGTTAGTGTCTGAGGGTGTGACCTATGGTTAATGTGTCTGAGATACTGTGACCTATGGTTAATGTGTCTTAGGGTATGACCTAGTAGTTATTGTATTAATTAGGGCCACATTTGAGCCATTCATAAAAGTGAATATTTTATTTTGCCAATACCTGAACCTTGTGAAATTGCATTAGTATGATTTTAAAAGAAAATAATTTTAACTGTTTTCCTGTTTAAGTATTGGTTGTCAGCTTTAAAATTGTTGTTTCATATCTGAAAAACAATAAGCTGTTCCATTCTAGTTACTTTTATTTCTTTGTTGTTCTCTGGCAGATAATATATACTTTACAAGAACTGAACTTTCTACCTTAAATTGTTATTACTTGTATTGCTTTAGCAAAGATTGATGATAAGTAAAGATATCGTAGCTACTCTCTACTGGATTTTGAAACTTGATGTACACTTCAGTATTCAACTTTTTGTTTGTGTATAACTCAGTATCTTGCCTTGGTTTGTAGGTACGACATCATTCTAACTTCTGAGACAATTTACAACATAGACAATCAGCCCAAGTTGCTACATTTGATGAAATCTACCTTGAAACCCACTGGTACAATGTATCCTTTTGCATCTTTACTTTTCATGTAAAGTCATGTTTTTCATGTCTAGAAGTTAAAACCCACTGGTACAATGTATCCTTTTACATCTTTAGTTTTCATGTAAAGTCATGTTTTTAATGCCTACAAGTTGAAACTGTATGAATCTGTATGATGGACAAAAGTCTTTGTCAGAGTCAGACTGAAGTGATCAGATCACAGACGTTTTATTAAAAGCTTGCAACATTGTCTACCTACACATTCAGTTAATATCTAATCTGAGAAAGAGTAAATTAAAGAGTTGTGATGATAGAAAACATAAAACCTTTT